TGCTGGCACAGGTTGCCCAGAGAGGTGGTGGATGCCCCATCCCTGGAAACATTCCAGGCCAGGTTGGACGGGGCTCTGAGCAACCTGATCTAGTTGAAGGTGTCCCTGCCCGCGGCAGGGGGGGTGGACTAGATGACCTTGAGAGGTCCCTTCCAACCCAAACTATTCTATGATTCTATGAACTTAAAAATACAGTGGTGTCAACCCTGAACTGTGCTCAGTCAGGTGGAGAGGGTTTTAAGGGTCTGCCTTGGCATCGTACCTCACTTTGTTTTGGGACTTCATGCATCACATTCCCATACCTTTAAATGAAACATCCTTCGAGACAGTTTGCACGCGCCAGTCAAATCCAACCTGCTGCTACCACCATTTCTGAAACCAAGCCGCAGCCTTCCTCTGCTCTTTCTGTGTGGATGGTTTTGCTACAATTTCCTTTCCACATACTGTCCTTATAGGGTCATTTTTCATGTAAAACACATACATTTTTAATGGACCTCAAGTAGACATCATAGCCTATCGTTTCTTGGAACTGGGTGTGGTGAAAGGTTTCCAGTTGTTCTAAAGGTACTTTCTGTGCACAACAAGGTCTACTTTGGACCCACTGATGCATACCCAGAAAGGGATGCCATAGGGAGGTTTGTTTATGTTCTTTAGTTGATGATACGAAGTAAATTACAATTTCAAAACAGAACATCAGGGAGTGTCTCAGTGATCTTTATTTGATTATGATTACAAATCCAAAGTTACCATTTGTAAGGAAATAAATTAATGTATTTTCATGCCATTAGAAAAGCAAGAAAAGGTTGAAAGCCATTTAAAATACTTCTGAACTGATGTGTAATTTCATTGACTATAACATTTTAGAAATCTATTTGTAAATTTTGCATAATTTGCTTGATATATATAAAATACTCTGATATTTCTGCCACTCAGTTGCAACTGCTCTTGCGAAATCCATCTAAAAGCAATATATTGTCTGTAAGCCACATGTTGTCTTGAACATCCGTATTCCATTATAATGTACACACAGGAAACTGTAACACTGTATAGCAATAGAAGGGCCAACAAAGCATGACTTTTTTTTTTTTCCAGTTTATTGATGGTCGGCTATCAAAATTAAATGCAGGAAGAGGATTCTCGGATGTTTTTGAAGAAGAAATCACAGCAGGAGGCTTTTGTGGAGGTACAGAATTAGTTTGAGTATACTCACTGATGGTGCTTCTTTGGGAGCTGTTCAACGTGACGATGTTCTCAGGATGTCCTGTAAATTTTAGAAGTCATTAATCTTATTACTGCTTCATTGTATCCATTCGTTCTTGGAAAGGTTTTAGCCTTTAACAAATCACTGCTGGGACACATACTGTTATGTATCTAGTTATGTCAGTATATTAAATGAAGATATGTTGTTTTAATCCAGTAAAACAAAACTCAGATTTCAATATATGATGGAATATCACTGTATTATTTACATTTTTAACTGCATGTTTACATGATGTGATACATTATATGTGAACTGTATTTAAAAAATAATTTTGAAATTTGTGCTGAACTTTTTCTAGATAGTTATGTTTTCCATAAACACTTCTAACTTTTTTCACATCTAATTATTTCTGCAGTGCAGAAATCAGTGCCTTCCTGAATTTTTAGAGACATTTGCTTTCTCCAGCAAATATGTTACTTTAAAAAAGAGGGAAAAAATTTAACATTTGTATATCATCTCAGAAGGAACATTGAAAGTTTACCTTCTTCATAAATACAAATATTATTCCTTGTGTTGTTTCTCTTAGTTATGTTCACTAACAACTATTAATAACACTTTTCACATTAACTAGCTTACAAAGTTAACCCATATAGAAGAGTGTGTGCTCAATCCATTGCTCAATATTACAGGATTATTGATTGCTTTCCTGTTAGACATATATTACAGCTATGTTGTTACTTGAGGTGTCATATTTGCTATCAAAATATTGGATCAAAATGTGCATGACACAGCACAAATGTTGTTTTATGGTCTTTAAAGTAGTGTAGAAGCTTTCTCAGTAGATGGAGGTTATGTGATTTGAGCAAATCCACTGAGTTGCATATGGCAGCTTTAGACGGTCTTACTTTGCAAGACTAGCCTTAAATGGGCATATTTACAGAGGAAAGGATTTGGCCCCCACAGAGAAATCAGAGTGGTGCAGATCCATCTTCACCTTCTGTAAAATACCTTTTTTATGCTCAGAGTACATAAATCCTTTTGTTTGAGATTTTCACTGCCTTCTCCTGCTCTCTGTGTCTTGTGCTGTGATCTAGCAGGTAATTTTTTTTTTCTTGATTAAAGTGTGGTTAGTTATAGAGAGATTTACATCTTTTCTACTTTTTTAGGGTAACATATGCTGCTCTGTAAACAGGTTTTAGGCATTGAGCATCCATTATTCAGATAGGTGGTGTCAGTATTTGGAGTTTGTTCGCTGGCTGCAGTTAAGGGGGTCAGGAGGCTGCAATAAAACTGCAATAGAAGTTAGATAAAGCTTGTTTCTTGGCTGCGTGCTGGCAGCCTGTGAACCACGTCTCACCTGCCTCTACTCAGGAGGGAGTGCTCGGTTTCGCTAGCAGTTCTTGGTTAGATTGCACTGCGTGCTTACTTTTAAAGTCAGACAAGCTGTATATTGCCAGGTTGTGGACAAATTGCTTAGGGCACATATTCAGTATTTACATAACTGCTGTCTCATTATCGTTATGAAGTGCAGGGCTAACAATATGTATGCAATTGAAGGTGACATTTTGTGACGCTAATGGGGTAGAACTATGATCTCTTTGCAGAGTTAACTCCCATCAACTTTATCAGGAAGCCCAAGGTTTTAAAAAAAAACAGGTGAAACCCAGCTTTCAGAAGTCACAGAAAGTTAGTGTCAGCTACAAGCTGTTAAAAGGACAGGTGAACATAATCTTAGCTATAGAGAGTATAACTTAAAAATTACTGAATCAAATGGAAAGTGTTTCTGTAAGTAATCTCTTTTTTAATTCGCATTTTTCCATATATGCAAGCATAACTAAACTGGCACAGAAAATTAAACTGGAAATCGGAGAATAAAACTTGGATTTCATTGGTTTTTATGATTTCCTCCCCCCGCCCCCAGTAAAGTGGTCAAAACTTATTTCCCTGTGACTATGTGTGAAAAGTAATTTGTCAGCCATCTTCATTACAGTTTTCACTTTAGACTTATATTCTTATTTTCTGTTACATGTATTATTCTGTGGAAGTATTAGTTCTCAAGAGTTTTATGTAACTTTCAATACAAGAACATAGTGATGATTGGTTGGCTTAGCACTTGGATTTCTTGTAGAATATTATCCACTAAAGTAATTTGTAATCACATGAATTTTATTACAGCAGTCTTTTTTTTGAGTTAGTCTAATATCAATGGTGGTAGTATAAGGAAAACTGAAAAAGTGAAAACCTTTGAACCTCTCTTGTAATAATTCTTTATTTTAAGGAGTCGGCCTTTTCTTGCTAGAGTTTCAGGAGGTTCAACTCTAGCTGAGGGTATGCAGAGTTAACGTGGCCTTTTCTGTAGATGAGTATTTATCTGTTTTCTTTATTGCCTTCCCTGAAGACTCTCTACACAACTAGAAGACAGTTAAACTTCTTGGTGATTTGCTGTGATCTCATTTACTGTTTCTAGTAATTGCTTAAGTCATGGGCTGTGACAGAGAAAGCTCAGATGTGGAGTCACTGTTAAGGACACCACAAGCCAGATGATATATGAATGTTTTTGATAAGAATTTGAAGTTATGAAATGTCATGTTAGAGAAAGTACTTATGGGTCATTGAAATTTCATTAACACACTAGCAGTGGTTAAATTTCACCTTATTACATGTTATTTGCGTGCTACCTTCTCTAGTAGTTCCAGGGAGCCAGATCGAAGAAGTGAAAAATGAGTCATTTTTGCTTTAGGTTGCTCTTTGACGTTCTTATTGGAGATAGGGTCATAATGATCATCAGGTTCTCTCCTTTCTAAGGAGCATTGCTTTCACTTGTGCACACACTAGCAGTGGTTAAATTTCACCTTATTACATGTTATTTGCGTGCTACCTTCTCTAGTAGTTCCAGGGAGCCAGATCGAAGAAGTGAAAAATGAGTCATTTTTGCTTTAGGTTGCTCTTTGACGTTCTTATTGGAGATAGGGTCATAATGATCATCAGGTTCTCTCCTTTCTAAGGAGCATTGCTTTCACTTGTGCCATCATTCCTGGGAGACTGGCTGTTGCAAAACTGCCTGTAAAGAATTTAGTGGAATTGGTGGAAGTGCCTGATGCGAGTATAAACAGCTCAGTTTTTTCACCTCATTCAGAAACCTGAGAATACCTTTTACAATGATCCAGTTAGTTCCCAGCTGTGTTCGAGGAGAATGTTTTGGCTTTCCACTAGCTAATGCAATAATTGCACCCAGGGCTTAGTTAATTGATTATTGCAAAGCTTAAGAAGTTTTGAGAACTCCTGTTAAAAGTCTGTAATGTCAAGGATATATCAGTATGGTCCTTTCAAAATGGATAAACTCCCTGTTTGAAACTTCAACATTCTTGTCAACGTGAATGTCCTGTCTGGGGTTAGCAACATCTCACAGGACCAGAGTATTCAAGTGACTGATGCACTCTAAAACTTTCTCGGGGCTCAGGGACCCAATCTTTGGTGTTCAGCTGAAGCACCTTTGGGAAATAGTATTCATTTCTTCGTCAAGTGCTCGGCAGAATTTAACCCTGTTCTTCACGGCCAGCTTAGTGCCACAATAGTCCTCGGTAGTCCTACAGAAGCCAGTAGCTCTCACTTGCCTTTTAGAGGTTTTCCTTTGTGAAAGAAAGTAGATACAGTTTTAAAAGGCTTTTTCCTGCACAGGGGTGTATAGTTGTGCCATAATTCTTAGACTTTCCTCTTGTTCTTTTTCCTCAGGATGGTACCATCTGCAGTCCATGTCATTTTTGTACTTGAAAGTTTGCCCAGTGGGATCATTATGCTTGAATGCAGTTCATTATATATTATTCTTTCCTTCGAGTTGGTGTTTTTCTTTTTAGACTTTTTAGCAGTATGTTACCTTACCATAATTTTAATTTCTCTTTCTACCTCAATCGGAATTAAAAACTCTGTGGGTGAAAAGATATGCTTTTACAAAGAAAATAGAAAACATGAAATAAGAGATACCTAGCTTTTTTTCTTAGTGTACACATATTCTTATCTTTACATTCCTTGTCTGTCTGAGAAGAATGAAATTAATGAATAATCCTCTAAGGGAATTTTTAATGCAGATTGTGAGGAGGGTTGAAACATTTAAAATGTTGAATGTATGTTTGATTGTGTTACATCTTACATTTCTATTTCAGGAAATTCAAGATCGTATCAGCAGTGGATGCATACAGTGAAGGTATAAACTTGGTTAAGTAATTATACTGGCCATCCTGTTCTTCAAATCTTTGTCCTTGTCCTTACATATACGTAATGGTAAAAGTTCGTTCGTTTGCAAGGAAAATGTAAGTACATTCTGTAATGAATAACATGTCTGTAGTAAATGCAATAATTTTGTGGGTTTTTTCTTGAAGATTTAAAAAAGAAAAAAAAAAAAGTCCTCCACACAAAACAAATGCCAAACACAAGGTATTTCTGTCTGTAAAGTCAGGGACTTCACTGCTTTCTGTATCATGTTGCATTCCATGACTGTGAATTAGGTGTGACAGTACAATATGATAACGAAGTTTATCACTTCTAGTAAATAGCAAATCTCGTTAATATGGATTTGTGCAGTTTGGCTAGCAGAAGACCCTTGGTATAACCTTGTTATTCTGCAGGATTAGTAAAATACATTATTTTAGATTAAGAGAATTCTTGTGTGATTAAATGAGAGAGTTCTTTCTGTCAGGTCAAAGTATTTTTAAGTTGCATAATAAATATGATAGGAACACATGAAAAATAGCCATAACTTCTGAATTGATTTTGAAATAGTAACAATGTATGAAGAATGAAAATACATCATTCTGTTAGAATGCATTGATAAATGTGTCAGCTGTGATAATGACGTACTGTAACCCTTGTGTAGCTGCAGACAGCAGGTTGGGGAGGAAACACAGCTGTGGTTATTCTGAGCGATTTAAAAGGAAGATTGTTATTTCTTTACAGCGCACTGTTTATTTTTGCTTGCTGTTGTCTTAAGGTTTGACTTGTGTTAAAATGTTACTAAAATACATTTTTTGTATATTTCAGAAAGGCGGTGCACTGATCAACACAGCAATGACCAAAGCCACTCCGGCTGTGAAAACAGCATATAAATTTGTAAGATCATCTCTTTCAAATAAATAATACATAAAATTAACACAACTTCCTACAACTTCTTCCTGAATACTTAAAAACCTAAGCATTTTATAAATGTATTGCAGAAAAACACTTTAGCCTGTAGAATGTTTTTAGCTTCATTTGTTTTCTCATATAGCACTAAGATTTAGAGTCTTCCAGATAGCTTGTACATAACAACAGACATTTTCAAAGCATCAGTTTGCTGTTTTTGTTTCAATCATAATACATGCTAGAGGCTTATTTGAATATCATTTAGATATTTGATACACAGCTGTAAACTCTTCCTAACCTGGTGACAACATGATGAAAATACGGACTCTGAAAATAGAAATTCTCATATACACTAAGGTCCCGTAACACAACACAGGCATTGCAAAGTTAACACGAGTGTAACACGTTCTGTGAATGTTACATTTATATGTAGTATAAATATAGTGTTATAGCATGTAGTTACGTAGTATATAGTGTTAATGCGATGTGGAGTTCTCTATTCAGAACAGATACAGTTCGTGCTAGACAAATGGAGTCCTGGCTTACACAGATGCAATCTCACTTTGGCACTAAGCACTGCACTATTGAAAAGATGTAGTAAAGCATCAGTAATGTGCGCAGCAAGTCTTTTCTATCATCTGCTCTTTTAAAGATGATACTGGAATACTCACGTTTAACTGGATTTAATGCTTATACTTCTGAGCTTAAAAGATCTTGTTTTAAAAGACTGCCTAACCAATAAAGCATGTGAAATTATACGGTATCACGCAGTATGAAAAAACAGCAATAGTGTAAAATGGAGTGGGAAGTATTTTAAGGTTGCATTTTTAATATATGGGAAAAGACTTTTGGCTTCCTTTTTCCTTTTCCAAATGTTTCACTAGTTGGATGCATAAGTAGTCCTGAATAAATCAGTACATCAGGCTAAGCTAGTGTATTTTAAGTAAAGTTTTCAAATAGAATTTTTAATTTTACATCAGTTGAAAAACACAGCAGCCATGGAGAGAAACAGGTAAATAAATTAAATACACCTCATTTCCATGAACTCATTTATAATTTAAAAAATGGTTCACTAACAGGTTATCTGCAAATTACTCTTCTTCAGTTTGCACTAGCTTAGACTGTGGTTACATGATCTTCTCCCAGCCTTCAATTTTGATAATTATGTCCTTGATAATAAAGGTTCTTCAACGTGAACTTCTGTTCAGGAAACACTGGTAAATTTTGTGAGGATCTGTGTGTGTAAGGTATTCGTATTTATACCCTATCTGATTTCTTATGCTGTTGCCCTTTATGGAGCCTACTAGAGAAATGACATATGCATTTCTTAATTGCTAGATAACTGATTGGTAGCCTTGAGTAATGTGCTTGGTACCATCCCTCAGAGTTAGAACAAAGCACTCCAAAATTCATCCAAATGCTGTGAGCGTGATCTGGAAAGTTTAAAGTGGCATTCAGGTTAGCATCTGCTACATGGCACCCTATAGTGCTGTTATTGAGCTTATAGATGTATGATTTAAGGATCAAAAAGACTCTCTGACCTCTTGATTCAAGAAAATGATATTCTTTTTCTGAATTTCCATGTATAGAAAACCATAGAAAAATAAGTGGTTTCTGCATATTTATGCCCTTAAAATATATTTTTAAAAGTCCTATTTTCAAGACAACCTTGAAAACTTTCATAGGTTTTTCCTATATTCATATAAGAAAAATACCCTTTCTTCTATTAGGGTTAGGGATTTTGGTCTCCCCTCATTCCCCCCCATCTTTTCTTTTTTTTCCTACTCCCCCTCCTTCTCTCTCTCTCCTCTCTTTCTGCATAAGTACGTGGTATTCTGTATTGATAATTCATTTCTCTATTGAAGAACATTCTGGGCTCTGTTTTCTATGCAACAGTGATCCTTGGCTGCCTATTTTAATACATACAGAATTCTCCCCTAAATAGCAGCACTACGCTGTTCAGCAACACTGGGCAAAATCTCCATCTGCATATGAAATCACTTCATTTCTCTTAAGATTGATGTTGCCCTGCAAGTTGCCAGACTGGAACACTGTAGCAGTCATCTTGAAAATCTTAACATTTTTCCAACATGCCTTACTGCTAAAATACCCTTTCAAATTTAAAGGACCATTTCAAATAAAGGAGTGATGTATATGACCATTTTTAGCCTGTCCTTACTAATATTGGAGAATTTTTGAGTATGTATGTTTTCACAGCATTGGCATGCATGTACTGAAAAAAATCCTTAAATATACGGACAAAGCATGAATATATAAAATGTACTGACAGTGCGTGTATGAAATATGTGATAAAAGTTATTGTCCTTCTTTATATCACCAGATGTTTAAAAAAAAGGTAAAATAAGTATGGCATCATAAAGCATGTTCCATGACTACAGCCAGTGTCTTGCAGAGCTACTTAAGTCCTTTTATTTTTCTAGGCAAAAAATCAGGCAAGGCAAGGAATAAAAGAAGTGAAGAGTAAGTTAAAACACAAGGTATGTAGTACACTTTTTACTTTCTTACCTTGCTTCCTTTATCAGTTTGAAGCTTATGCTTTACAAGTCACATGAGATTTTTGTTTTTAATGACTTTTGAAATATTCTTAGCCCTTTGTTCAACAATACATTTTTCATAACGAGCCCTCTGGCAACTATCTGTCATTCTATGCATCCACTGAATAATCTCTTTATTGTTTGCATATTTTATCATAGAACAACAGAGGTCTTCAAAGATACATTAACAGGATGTATGTTTTCATAAAGTTGATTGCTTTGATATCACAATCGAAGGCTTTGCTTCAAGCTGAGAATTTGAGATGGGAGAGTCTTGCAGTGCAGTGTATTTCAGAAGGTGTAGTTGTCTGTGTTGGCTTCATAAGATATGTGGACAATGGCAATGTTTAAAAATGAAGACATAGTTTCATTTTGCAAAAGCAACATTGCAGAAATATGAGAAAAGATGTTTTAGGCATTTTGCAGCAGCTTTTCCCATTGAAAATTTTGTTTCCACATAAGATTTTTCTGTAGGGAGAAGGAACCATTTTTTAGATATATTTTATGCTATTTTAAGAAAACTTTAAAAAATATTTCCTAGATGTTTGAACAATTCATCTTTTAAATGACAATGTTGATAATTCAGCTTCCTGAAAAGCTAAATTTTATTTTCTTACTACAGATGGTATTTTCATGACAGTAATAGATTGTGGCAAGATAATTTTGAATGCATTCTGCATGCATAATATGGAGGGTACGTTTGCAGATAATGATTGTAAATAAAGGAATTTAAATCTGTTTTGTTGTAGGAGAATCTGGAAGAGTATAGAACTTGCAGCGCTGGTGCAGTACAGACTGCTCCTGTCTACACGTTGCATTATGAGAAAAGAGCAAACTCAGAAAAACGAAGACTGGCACAGGTAAGACACCTGAAACTTCTGTTCTTATGCACAGACATATGAGGAAAATTTCTTGCCACTTACAGTAGTGCATCAGTGAATCTGTTTAAGAGAATCTGGAAGAGTATAGAACTTGCAGCGCTGGTGCAGTACAGACTGCTCCTGTCTACACGTTGCATTATGAGAAAAGAGCAAACTCAGAAAAACGAAGACTGGCACAGGTAAGACACCTGAAACTTCTGTTCTTATGCACAGACATATGAGGAAAATTTCTTGCCACTTACAGTAGTGCATCAGTGAATCTGTTTAAGATTATTTTACTGTCTGAGTTTGGATAGTGTGATTAAAAGGCTATGTTTATTGAAATACTGCTATACTGCTTGAATAGAGGAAAAATGTTATTTGTATTTCATCCCTGTTGAGAGGGGACAAAACAGGAGAATTCTAAGGATGGATCTGAGATTTAATTCTTAAATACTGTTTTTGATAAAGGCTTCTCACAGCAAATACATTCTGGTCTATTCACAGGTCTGTGTTAAGCTATATTTTTTAGTTTCTTATAGTGGGGCACATTAATTTTGTATTTGTCATAAATTGATTTGGCAGTCATATGGCCTTTAACCTTGATCAGATAGTTATGATTTATTATTTTATTAATAAGTCAGCTAGTTAATACGGTGCCAATCTCTTGTCCTTTTGTTCTCTAATCCTTTCTAGCCTTGATTTGAAGTAACAGGTGTAGTGTCTCAACTTTGGCAAGTGTTTTAATGTCTTTGGATTCATTTTGACAGGTTTATTTCAAAGATATCAATAAAATAGTTTTTGTAACACTTTTTTTCCTGGGAATAAATACCTGCATATGTATGTATTTTAATGTGTGGGTATATATTTTTGCATTATACTGTTATTGCATGTTTTTAATACATGTAATGAATGTTTATATATGGATTTTTAATGTGTATATCTTCCTTATATGAGAATTAAGCATAGAAATTCAGCCCAGCTGATCTAACATTTGGTTTTTTACTTTAGATATTGCAACGATAAAAATCTGAATTGTCTATTTAATCAATTTGATTTTTTAATTAGTTTTTATCCATAATAAATATAAAGTTTGTGAAATTTACCATAGAACTGATGCAGATTATTGCTAAATGGTGTTGAAATTGTACGTTAGTATTAAGTCATTATTTTTAGTAAGGTTGTAAATAATACAAAGACTTTCTGCTTTAATTATGTAAGCAGGTTTTACTTTGTACTTGTTTTTGTGATGTCTTAAAGCCAGTGATAAAGTTTTAAACTCTGTGCCCTCAGTATATTTTTTATATACAGGCAGCTGTGGTGCCTGCATTCTTTCAGGAACTTGTGTACAGTAGATTTTCTTCACTGAGAATCAGAAGAGAAGATACACAATTCTAAATGTATGAGTATAGAGCTCTAATGTTAATAACATGAATGGTTCTTAAAATACTTGTTTCTAATAGATAACTGTCATTTTAACATATAACAACTTCCCCCCCCCGCCAAAAGAATTTGATAATGTGAGGTACTAAAAAAGCTTTCAATGCATTATTAGTCAACATTCACAGATTAGTGTAGGTGAACCTACAATTGTATGTATCCATGTAAATACGTAACGCAAATGTACCCTTGTAGTCAGTGAATTTTTAGAGGCTGCTTTTATTAAAGAAATCTGCAATAATTTACTGATATGGTAGTGCTGCCTACTGTAAGGTACAGGAGTCTAGGGATACAAAGGAATATAATTCACCTTGGTACAATTGAATATTTCTTTTGAAGGCCTGTGTTTGGACAGAACAATTTGACTTCTGTATTTTTTTGTGTTCGTACAGCTGTATACTGCTAAATCCTTTAATATCATTATTGCCGTTTCTACCAGTCGTCTTTTGGTTTTGAAAACAAGACAGAAGGAGTGCGTGTCCGTCCACAGTTTTCTTTACATATATACATATACACATGCGTGTTTATGTATGTGTATACACACATACATATACATATATAGGGTTTGTTTACGAGCGAAGCTTGTAACTAATAGCCCCGCAGTTTTGCCCTCCTGCAAACCGAAGGTCCCGTGTCTTCTCCCCAGCTCTTGTCCCAAATGCCACGTGGGCCCAGTGGGCAGGAAGGAGCAAATGGTGATCGCTCCCCAAGGACTCCGCTCTCGCACGGTTTCCTTCACCTCTCACTCACGGTATTCCCACTTTTTCCTCCTCCCCAAAAGCAAACAAACAAAAATATTTCTAAAAAATAATAGTCTACTGTTGCTACTCTTGTTTTTATTTTTGTTCTTGGTAAGTATTTGAGTAAGATAACATAAATGCAAGTTCTTTATGAATAAGTAGTGATTTTAAACTTTACATCCAAATAAAAATATATATTTGTATTCACAAGTGCATGTGAGAGACTATGTTTGATCTAGTACTGAATCTGCCGTTTAGAAGAAGTGAATTCCACAGATTACTATTGTTGTCAGGTTTAATCCTTTTTTTCTGTAACTCTTTATCCTGCAAAAAAACCTTTCCACCCGGATTTCTAAAATGGTGCCCATGAGTGTCTATAGCAGTATAAGGATAGTGTTAACGTGCAGTTCAAGCACTTTGATGTATATTTCAAGTAAGGACCAGATATTAAGTTGCAATGTCAGTGTATTTGAATATCCCCCCAAAACCTAAACAAACAACAAACAAAAGAGAAAGATTGCTTTTAATGGTCATCTTGCTTCCAAACAAGAGGCACCTCTGCACTTTATTACTATCTCTTCCATACTGAAACATTTAAAAACTTGTAAATATAAAGAATTTGATGTTATATTTTATGTCATGTTAGATGCATGCATTGAGCTTTTCATTCTCCACTTCCTGGAAACAGTTAAACATAAATACTAACTAACAGTTACCTGAGATGCTGTAAAACATATTTATTTTGAAACATTATGTATGATATGAAAGTTTGCTTCACTGTAAAAGATCATTTTAATAATTGGTTCATAACAGGATTTTGGGGTCTGGGAGGACGTTTCCTTTACAATAGGAAGTGAATCTGCTTTCCCCCCAACAAATAGTAGTTTGTATGTGGGTCTGCTAATTAGTACGGTTATTTCCTGTTTTGTTGATGAGGCTTTAATAAATGTCAAGGGTACAGCCATGAAGATCTCCCAATTAGGCTTTGCGTTTGTAAAACCCAACCCCTTTGCTTTTGTGTGAAGATGACAGTTCCAACTGCAGCCTCAGCCTAACAGGGCTCAAGGGAAAGGATACTTCTCTGGTTTTATTGAAAACAAGGCCAGTTTGGCCCAGGGAGAATACCAGCACTGGTCACAGTGCAGAGCCATTTTTAACAATGAATATTTACTAAGCTTTATCACTGCTGTCGGTGGCTTTATTTTATCTTTTTTTTTCCAGATCGGCAATATACTTTAAAAAAATTAACAGTAAATCAAAACAAATTATAGCATGTAAAATAGCTGTCAAAACCTAATCAGAGGATAAATAATTAAATGTGTTCTTGCAAACTGTAGTGATCAGCTTGCCCTCCTATAATTTGCATTTTGAAAGTCTTTCCTAAAAAAAGAAATAACAGGAGTGCACTCATACGTGGCTGCGTGCATGCGCGTGCGCACCCACACAATTAATCTTTGCCTAAGATGAATTGTTCTATCTCTGTAATATTCATTTGAGCTTACTCTTGCTTGGGTTAGCCGTTCTAGGCTTTTTATACGTGTGCGAGCTTAACTATATTGCAAGTCAACGTTAACAGATGGATTGCCCTAAGCAAGGGAAAACCACAACAAAATCTAGTGAAAGTGGACGATCGAAGCTTTTTATTGTTAAGCCTTATTAAAACCTTGGCATGTGCACTGCTGTTAACTGTTTCATGCCTAGATCTAATAATATGTCTCTGGTATGTTTTATCTCCTACATTAATTAGGTATGATGAAGATATAAGAAATTACCAGCTAAAATTTTTGAAATAAAAATTACTGCAAGCATGAGATTGCTTCAACTCTGTTTGCGGTATCTTGCCAACGATATTGCTGAGTTCCTTCAACTATTGCTGCGGAGGGTACAGCAGTGCATGTATTAGACTACTGTGCGTTCAGTTTTTGCATAAACTGTTTTGATTCTGTTTCATTATATGCTCCCAGATAATGCAGATTTCTGGGTAGACAGGGGCCTAAATGCAGTGAGAGCTCTATAAAATTGTTCCAAATTAATATATAATTGAAAAGAGAGCGTGTTAATGATGAGCCTGGATAGAATGCCAGGAAGATCTGTTTGATTTCATGAATATGATCTTTGTAATTTTACTGTTATATCAGGTGATAGGGTGGCTTATTAAAAATGGAGCATTTCAGGATGTCAATAGTCGTAATGTATTTAGTGGCTAATAAAACATTCTTGAAGATTTGCAGGATACCAAATAAGAACTACCAGTTCATTTTATAATTAGTAAGTTAGAAATGCCCCCTTGTCTCTGAGGAAATGTATGTAATACCTTTACCTTTAGGCATGCACTACCTTGCAGCCGTAATGGAAACTTGGACATTTGGATTCTAAGTGTAGATTCACCAGGAATCCCTGTGTCAGCTCTACTTTAAATGTTCTTATATCAAAGAAACCAAGTGAACTACTTCCCATGACTTTGCAGGATGTAAATACAGTGTCTAAGAAGGTTTTAAAAACACTTTTGCATAAGGTAATAAAAGCCAAGTTAGACTAAACTTTTTTCTTGGTATTCTCGAACAGAAGAGAATTGCCATTTTTTATTCTTTTTTAAAAGCATATTGCAAATGTAGCTTTTACACTTTTATTGCAGTATATCCTAGTAACTAGACAAAGCGTAATTCAGCTTGCAGTAGGTATACTTGGCTTCTGTTCAACAAAGATAGCAAGTGTCAGGCAGGAAGATGTGTTCAGAATAACCTTACCTTCAGGAGTGCCCCATTTATCAATACCCCTATAATGGCCAGTAAAATAAATGACATAATCATTAGCTACAAA